TAGTAGACTTATTAAGTATTCTTTTAGTATTATATAATTACTTAAGCTAGTACTAGTATTACTAGTTAATAGTTAAGATAGCTATTAGTTCTATAAAATAAATATAAAGAGGTAAGCTTATTATAATTATATACGTAGTAACTATTATATTAGTAGTAATAGTAGTATTAGTAGTTTAAGTATAAGTGTAATAAGCTATATATTTAGGCTTCTATTAGAGATTTTTACATTTACTATTAAATCTAATATAGTAATATATTAATATATAATTTTAGAATTTTATAAATTCTTAATTTAAAGAGAGATACGCTATAGACTCTATCTCTTAGGCCTAGATAGAGTAGAATTACTTATGTATTTTAGCTACTAGACTTAGAACTAGTATACCTAGAGAAATAATATAAAATTAGTATTATTTAATTATATTTTAATTAATTACTTTATATAACGCTAGTATTAAATCTTTAGTTAAAATTCTAAAAGCTAACTAATTTTACATATATTATTAACTAACTAAAAGTACTTTTAAATATTAATAGTATTAATAATTATAGTAAAAGCGTATATTTCTAGTATAATTATTTTTACTATAGAGTAATTTAAATTATTATTAATAATTAAATCTATAGAAAAAAGAATAACTTTACTTTAATTATAATTTAAATATTTAAGAATAAATAGAAAAAGATATTATTAATCTTACTCTCTAGAAAGCTACTATAAGATATTTAATAATAAAAGCTAAAATAGAAGCTTAACTTTATAGTAAAACGTATTTACTAGATTAGTTTAGTGTATATCTTAGACTATTTATTATAATAAATTTAGAATTATAGAAAGTTTTCTATTATAGAGCTACTAAAAAGACTTCTAGAGTAGTTTATTCTATAATAAAGCTGCCTAGTTTCTTTATTATAATAGTAACTTAGCTACTTTTATAATAAGTTCTATAGTATTATATTAAAAATAATAATAATCTAATTACTATAAGAATAGTAACTTTACTAAAAGATTTTTAAGCACTAAGATATAGAACTTAGTTTAAGCTTTTATATACTATTAAAATTAAATTATAATTTTTTTACTATTCTTACTTCTTAATACTAGTGTATTGCTATAAAAATATTAAATTTAAAGATCTAATTAATAATACTTATTTAGTTCTAGATTTATCTTAAGAATTCTAGAAGAATATAACTTAAATAATTTTTCTCTTAGATATAATATAAGTTATAATCTCTTTTAAATAATTAAGTAATAATAATAAATCTTAAAAAAAAAGATAATTAATATTATAAAAGAATATAAAAGTTCTTATAAGCTAAGAAGTAGAAGTAGAATAAACTAGATTCTTACTTTCTAGACTTTTAAAAGATCTTAAAATATTAGAGTATATATATTTTTTTATAGATTTAATTCTTAGTCTAGAGTATTTATATTTTTTAACTTAACTTACTATATATAAATATATACTTAGGCTAAGAAAAGAAATTTTTATAAAACTATAACAATTTTTATAAATATACTAAAGTATCTAAGAAATATCTAATAACCTTTATATATAATTATAAACTAAGAGTTTAAATAATTAAAATAGAATAATTTATTTTCTAAAATATATATATAAACTTATAAAACACTTTTATTTATAAGTTTCTTTATATAATTATTACTATTAGTATAAGAAGCTAAAGTATTTAATATTTAAGTAGCTATTTAATAATATTTATTAATTTTTAAAAGTTTCTAGAAATAGAAGTATTAGTTCTTTAAATCTTAAGCTTTTAATTACTTAATACTATACTATTTAAAGCAAGTTAAATCTAAAACTATATTTTTCTATAGTATACTAGTTATAGTTTTTATATTCTAAAAAACTAATTTTTATTTTCTATAAGTATTACTAATAATAATAGCTTAGTTAAAAAGACTAAGCTTACTTTTACGTATAGCTTAGATCTTACTATCTATATATATATTATCTTAGACTAAGAATACTATTTTAGTTATTCTTACTTTTTTAGATTATATTAGTCTAGTAGTTTAAGACTAGGTTCTTATATATAGTAAGTTAATTTAATATATTATATTAGATTACTACTATAAGTAAATCTAAGTCTTAGTAAGAAATATAAAACCTTTAGATAATTATATATACTATAAAGTATAATACGTATAATACTCTAAATAAAAGTAAAATATATAAATAGAAGTAAAATAATATATATATATAATATAAAATATAATATAATTACTTATATAAGTAAGTATATAGCTAATAAGAGTCTATACTAGCTAGCTAGTAGTATAGACCTCTAAAGTCTATACTTAATCTAAGTTTTATAAAGAATTTTAGCTTTATATATAGAGCTATAGTATAATTTTAATCTTAAGAGCTCTATAAGTAGAGTAATAAAGTATTACTAATTTAGAATAAAGCTTTAACTTAATTAAAACTTCTATTTAAGAAAGTATACTTTTCTAAGAAGACTAGTAATAAGTAATGTAGCATAGTAAGCAGATGTAGGATGTCGCGCACGTGGGAGCCACGAGTGGAGTTCGTTCGGCGTTGGCCCAGACCAGACGCTAATTGCAGACGCCACGGAACCCCACTCTGCTGGTCCTTTCCTATGTTCCTGCATATCGCGATACCTATCTCATAGCAATTCGATCATGTCGAAAAAGGTAAGCTGCAAACTAAATGCGCTGTCGCTGAGATGCACACTAAGCCATGCGCAGGGAAGTGATACGCCTTCTTCCATTCGTATCCGGGAGAATCAGCGGCGCTCGCGTAATCAGCGCAAAGAGCTCATCCAGGACCTGCAGCGACGCGTGCAGGAATATGAAGCCAAAGGCATTGCCGCTACCCAAGAGATGCAACGCGCAGCCCGCAAGGTCGCAGAGGAGAATGCACGTCTGAAGAGCTTGCTGGCCAGCCGTGGTATATCGCACGAGGAAGTGGACGCGTATCTACGATCCTTTGATGCGCCAAGCGCTCCAAGTCCCTCTGCTGCCGCGCTGTATGCTCAACCAGCGATGCGACCCTCAGTCTCACTCACTCCGGTACAAAGCCCTGTCGGATACGCGATGTATCCTGTCTCTCAGCCTGTTGCACGGTCTCCAGCGCAAGTTCCTGAGCCAGCCCCTGCACAAACCCCAATCCAGCAGCGGCCGCACCCACCAATTCAACATCATGCACAGTCTTTGCCAGACACCCACCGTGTTCGTCAGTCTGTGGTAGGAGCCATTCAAGACGCAGCTTGTCTGCCCGAGAGAGCGAACGACACGACTAACTCGCCGTCTACTGCTGCGCATGAGCCTGTTGCCGTGGTAAACCAGGAGAAGTCATCTTGCTGTAAACCACCCGAGACACAAAGAGCCTTCGACAACCGGTTGACAGAAAGCACAATGACCGATCAAAGCGTGTCCTCATCTCGCAGCGTCGCCGAAGACGATGATTGTCCTAACACTACGAGTTGTTTTTGTCCACCCACATCTGCGCCTCAAGCGAAGTCGCTCGACAATGGTTTGCTGATATCATGCGAGACCGCTGCCACCATCATATCAGAGATGCGTGGCGACGGTGATAGACATCGGATACGGGCCAGTCTGGGTTGTCAGGGAGACCAAGAATGTAGTGTCAAGAATACGCTTGTTCTGGAGCTCATGGATGAGAGGTAGCTTGAATTGATACAAAACATCGAAGTCTTGGTCCTCCCCTTGTGCAACGTCTGCTCACACGCGCAAGCAACTTCCTTTGAGGCTGACAAATGACGTCACGCCGCGTGGCAGCCCGTCTCGGCCCCGTTACCCCATCATTTTTCAACACTCGCAGTCTCTACAGCCTCCACTCACTGGAATTCTGGACGATGGCGCACAAGAATGCCATGGCGAAAGTGCTATACCCCAATCCCTTCGCGTCATTGGGTGCTGACAGTCTCCTAAGTCTGCAAACGCCGAGCGGGTCCGCAATAATCAGCGTCGCAGTCGCGCCCGGCGCAAAGCATACATTGCCGAACTTGAAACGAAGCTCCGCGAATCTGAAAACAGATGTAGTCAAGACCCTAGGACAGCAGAGCTTGCAAGAGCTACACAGGACATCCAATTGCTCAAAAAGCTTATGTCTACGTTAGGGCTTAACGAAGCATTTCTTGAGGCTTTCTCGAGAGCCCAACCTCTGGCAGCACAGTTCTCAAGCAACCTAGAGAGCATCACACACATCGGCAGTACGCCTGAAACATCTTCTCGGCATATTAAACCTTTATCGATCAGCGAGGTAGGCTCATACATCGCAAATGTCACCACAATTTGACGAGGCTAGTTGGACACAAGCTCTATTGTCCCCTGCCACAAGCAAGCACATGAGCTTTATTCACCATTCGGCGCGGAGATAGACATACAGAATGCGAATATGCAACTCAACCTAGTAGATTCGTATGCGATCGGCGCGTCGCCACCATGGGAATCGCATGATATGCCTGCTATCATGACTCCTCTAGCACACACCAATGGAGGTCTAAGTTTATTGAGCCCGATTCAGGAAAACTCGACTGACTTTTCGCCAGCATCGAACGGACTACCAGCGCAACTTTCAGGTTCGACGACGCTTTGTACAACCGCTTTCTCCCTCGTGCTTGCACAAAACCCCGACGGCCACAGCTCAGAATATCTGGATAAGAAACTAAGAGTGGGCTACCTGCTCAGCACGTCTCTGTTGGAAGGTTGTCGTATTCAGAATCATGTATTGTTGGAGGTTCTTGCAGAGATTGCATGAGTGTTGATATAAGCCAACATGCTATCGGTCGAGGGCATTTTGGCGACGTTTCACCCTCCGTAGCTGAAACATGAATCCACTAGCCACTACATATGAAAGACCTGCAAAGATCTGAGTATAAAGATACTCACGCGAAGATGAAGACCGTCTGAGTTTGAGTGCGATTCCCTCGGAGACTGCTTGGGTTAGTCAAGGCGTCCCTCGACCTTAACAACGAGGCGCTTACTTGTTGCTGGTATAATGACTGCCGCCCAGGACAGCGAGAGCAACGACTGCAAGTTCTTGATGCCCGCGACTTCGACGCACAGCGGGCCAATGGTCTGTTCGAGGTAAATGGTTAGTGGAGCTGTCTGGAGTCCATCTCGGTTGCGAGCTTCACATACCATCCAGAATACACCAACGATCGCGCCGCAGAGAATCGCAAAGAACACCGTTAGTGCGTAGGATGTCGCAGGTAGCCAGAACGCAAAGCATGAAATACCGCACAGCAAGGTCAACGCTCCTGCTGTATCTATCCTGCTCCACCGATCACTCAGTATACCGATGATTGGACGCCCTACCGCAGTTCCGACGTTCAAAAGCCCGATGATATCTGTAGCTTGGGATCGCGAGAGGCCTATTGACAGTGCAAAATCGGAGAGTGAAAAGAGTAGGACGATGTATCCCAGCATGCTGATGAAGACCCATGCAAGCAGCAATATTACTTCGTAGCGGCGCAGAAGTTTGGTATCGAAGCCTAGTTGGGATGGCCGAATGGCCTTGTTCCTGTCGCGTATGAAGACCGTCGCAGTAAGATTGGCCACGAAAGCGATGATGCCCGTGATGCGCAAGGCCCAACTAATGCTGAATCTCTGAATGATGGCCTCGGTACCCCAAGTGAAGGCTGCGCCGCCGACACCAGATCCTGCTGCACTAATACCGTTGGCCAGGCTTCGTTTCCGATCAAACCATTGCGAGAGGACTGGAAGACAGGGAATATATAAGAAGCCAATCCCACAGCCGATCAAGACTCCCTGCGAGAGGTGGAGCTGCCAGATTTGAGTCGCGAATGAGGCAGCGATGAAGCCGCCGAGCTGCAAGACCAGGCCGCAGCACATGGCAACATGCGTTCCAAACCTGCGACAGAAGACTGTCACAAAGGGTGCCACGAGCATAGCAATGGCAAAGTTGAAGCCACCGATGAACGCATAGTCCCAGGTAGAGGCTTCGGGGAAGATGTCGTCGGCTAGGTAATGCGATAGATAGATGCCATAGGCCTGGACGTTGTTAACATGATGCACGGTGGAGAGAAAGTATCTTCTGGATAAGCGACCTTGACTCACAGATACGGTACCCCATGTGAAGCAGTTTATCGTAAAGCACGCTGCTACACAAACCCAGCCGTAGCCGCCATCGGGGGGCGTATGCTCTGCAATGGTAGTATTCTCTCCTTCGATTACCTCATCGAGCGTCAGTGGCGGTAACACCTCGCTGTGCAGTCGGGGGTTGCTGTTTTGTTTCATCATCTTTGCGGCATGCAGTCAGGAGCACTGTATCTTCTGCTCCAGCCGACGCCACTATATACGCACGTAGCAGATATGTCACTTGCATTTGCGGGGTGTCACCACTCACGGATGATCGACAGCACTAGTCCAGAACCGGTCGAGGGCTGTTGATACATTCAGAACCTGCGCTATACTACCACACTGTATACCAGACTCCTATCCTTTTGAGGCAATGCTGTTCTTGCATTCAAATGAGGTTCGGATCAATTCGAAGGCCCCGCGTTGGTTGACAAAGCCGCATGCTGCGTGTCTGGGGCAGGCTTATTAGCTTCCTTTGCCTGTTTCGCTCGCTTCTCTTCCCTCTCACTGAATCTGTCGCCGAATAGATCGAAATGGGGACGCATGACAATCGTGTATTTAACAAACTCTTCCATGCAATCGACAAGTCGATCTCTGTTCCCGCTGGGCATTAGCCTGCTGCCAGCGTCCTCCTCGGTGAACTGCTTATATGCCATGGGTATGGAGCTTTGGTTCGGTATGACAAACATGCGCATCCATCGACCGAGTATTCGCAGGGCATTGACTGTATTGAAGGACTGTGATCCGCCGTTCACTTGTGCGATTCCGAGAGTGCGACCCTGGGTCGGACGAACAGAGCCAGTGGACAGTGGTATCCAGTCGATCTGGTTCTTGAACACGGCCGTCTATAGGAGGACAGCCATTAGTATGGCGTTCAGAAAGCATACTGAGTTTTAGGGCGCCAACTTACGAGAGTCCCGTGCTGCTCAGGACATATCCATATATGCCCATCGCTCCATTTACTCAGTTCGCGTAACTCTTGCACTTTGGGGTGTGTGTGTTGTACATCGTCCTTGACTGGTAGGCCAGTGGGGTCGTACATGCGAACGTCGCAGCCAAGGCGGAAAAGTATTCGGCTCGCCTCGTACGATAGCAAGCGCGAGTAAGATCTGCCCTGTGTCAGTACATTCCCCCGAGAGCACCTATGGGCGCATGTGGCTGAAAGATTTGTACCTTGATCGCATGCTTCCGTGCAGGACTACCACCTTAAGCCTCTCGTCTCCGCGTTGGAGCAGTTGTGTATCGACCATCTTCAGTGCGGTGCTGAGTTCTAGTTGAGCCACCCAATCGTCCTCAGCATCTTTGCCCTCAAGTATGAATGGCCGGTAAGCCTTCCGAACTTCCACATCGTCTTCAGAGGGCGGTATCGCTAATGAGCGACCTTGATACGCGGGATCAATTGCGAGTTCAGCTCGTACACGTTCGGCCGAGGTATTGTTCAGATCTCCATTCGGTACGGTCGCCATTGTACGTGCGAGTTTATAGGAGGCGCGTAGGGGTCTGGGGGTGATGGTGCTACGAACACCGATACTGAGGATTGAGCAGTAGATTTTCATGGGCTAGTGCGTGTGGATGCGTATGTTGTTCGTCGAGGTGTCAAACGGAAATCGCGTCGAGCTGCTAGCGACCTGGCATTGTCTTCCTGGAAAGGTAAATTCGGAATCCCGTGTATAGGCGCGCAGGTAGCGTCGACACGAAAGTGCCTGGCAAAACACGTCATGGTTAACAAGCATGTCACTCCACACGTCCGATTCGTCGGAAACTCGCGGACCCTGCGTCCCAGCCCCAGAGCCTCAATTGGGGTGCGATGGCTTCCAAAATTTATCTAAACCGCATAGTTAGGGGTAAGATATGTATCGCAGCCAAGTCGTGGCTCATGTCCGCTGTGCCTGCTCCCATCAGCCGTTCATGCGCACCGCTTGGTCGTTAGAACTCGTAGTATTGGAGGCACTCGGTGTCAGTAGATGCGGATTACGAAGCAATTCATGGGGGTTATGATGAAGCTAAAGATCAGCATTATAGAACATGAGGCATCTGGTATTGTCGTGCTTGCACTTGGTGGAAAGTGCTGTAGCGGGGACAGCGGTCAAGCACGTGGAGGGGCAGCCAGAATGCTTGGCGACGTTTTCGCTCCCGGACCCCTGCAAACGTCGTCATGGTGAAAGTTGTAACTGAGAGTATCTTACCCCCACACCACAACTGAGCAGCAACATGGAGTACGACACTTTCACAGCACGTGAGTATACGCGCGCCTATACCAGCGGATCCATGACTAATCAGCACCAGCGCAGTACAGCACCAACGACGCGACGTCGTTTGCCCACACTTCGGCGCGCTCGCGATGGCCCATCATCATCACCCAAGGCATTGACGACGTGCACCGCTCCCTGCACGACACCAAAGACGAGACGGCCATCACAGAAGGCAAACAGGTTGTCGCAGAACTCGCCAAGCTGAAGTACGAGCTCCAGCACGACCGCGAGCTGACTCCGATCCCCGATGATGGCGAGCGCGATATCGAAGCATACAACAAGGAGCTGGCAGCAAGAGGCAACCCCAAGTGGCACAACGTGTCTTGGCTTTACGCCGAGTGCTATCTGTACAGGTATGTAGACCTGAGTCGCTCAATGGCGCGTGCTAATGGCCATAGGCAGACGCATCGCAAGCATCTTTAAGCAGACCACCAAATGGCGCTCGTACGACATCTTCGCTCGCCAGAAGATGGAAACCTTCAAATCCTCCCGCCCCGCCGTCGTCGAACTCGCCGCGCGCTACAAAGACATCGTCACCGAGCTGGAGCAGAAGAAGACGATCAAGGGCGCAGAGTCGCAGGAGCAGCTCGAGGCCGCCGAGAAGGTCCTGTTCACCGAGATGTGCGAGATCTGTCTCTGGGGCAATGCGACGGATCTGTCCCTGTTGACCAACCTGTCATACGAGGATATCCAGAAACTGCAGGGCTCTGAGGCGCGCAAGAACTCTGAGAAGAACATTCTGGTCAACGACCTCGACAAGGCGTTCGAGGTTCTCACGCGGGCTCAGAAGGAGGGCAAGAAGGAGCGTCGTGTCGACATAGTGCTTGACAACGCTGGCTTCGAGCTCTTCGTCGATCTCATCCTCGCTGGATATCTGATCGCTTCTGGCCTGGCGACGAACGTCGTGTTCCACCCCAAGAACATCCCATGGTTCGTTTCAGACGTTCTGCCAGCCGATTTCGGCGCACTTCTCATGGCACTAGCCGACCCACAGAGCTTCTACAGCGCGCTATCGGAAGACGAGAAGCACGCTGGCAAGCAGTCCGTACCGCTCTCTGAGACGGAGAGCGCGAATCTGCAATTCCTCTTCCAGCATTGGAGTGGTCTCCACGCAGAAGGCCAATTGATGATGCGACCAAACGACTTCTGGACTGCAGGCGGCAGCTACTGGCGACTTCCCAAGAGCGAGCCGGACTTGTACGAGGATCTCAAGGAGAGCGAACTCGTCATCTTCAAGGGCGATCTCAACTATCGCAAGCTAACCGCAGATGTGAGTACCCCCTTCTACATCTGTTTCTCGCATTACTGACTATCACTAGGCTGCTTGGTCTCCTACCACACCATTCACCGAAGCCATTGGACCAATGGGCCCTGGCTCAGGTCTACGAGTCCTCGCGCTCCGCACGTGCAAAGCCGACGTCGTCGTCGGATTAAAGGACGGAGAAGACGAGCGCATAAAAGCATCAGAGGGGGGCGGCGGAGACAGTGGGGCGAGAAAGTGGGCTTGGAGTGGCAAGTGGGCTGTTGTCCAATTCTCGGACGGAAAAGCCTAGTCGACCAAGAACACTTGAAGTTATGGGTATGTTGGAGTGTGGATAGACTATAGACATTAAACTTAGATATGACAGAAGAAAAGTAAGTACATGACATGATTGAGCGCCGGGCTCTGTCGGCCCCAGGCCGCGATGAATTTTTCAGTAGACGCCTCTCCTGATATCTGAGGCGATCTGTTGAAGCTCCTCAACCGTTGGTGGCTGCTTGTTGCCTTTCAACAGTTTGATCTTGGAAAGGCTCTCCATCTCTTTGATCTTCCTTGCGACGAGGCCATTTTTAGCAGGCTGTGCTTTCGGAATACCTCGTTGCTGAAGGTGACCCTCTAAGCTGGGTCTGCCGCTGGTTGGTTGCTGGGCAGGGCGTGCCCTATCTCTATGGAGTACATCTGCACGTGCAGTAGGCTGGTCGTGCGTCCGTTTGGGCTGTTCACGAGGTTGCGAGACTTCTGCTTTCGCCGCTGAATGTCCTAGAGCCCTCAAATCTGTTACGAGTCAGTGTTGGGTCGAGGTGATGGGAGTAGACTGCGACATACCATGCAGGAGTTTGTGACCATCTGGCTCACTTCCTCGCCATTGTCCATTGTCACGCTTAGCCCACAGCCTCCTCATCGCGTCAAGCTCAAGATGATACTCTAGAGCGCCGGAGACTGGAATGCTACTGCATATTGCTACCATGTCCAGCGTTTGGCTGTGCACTTCGGCGTCTGCATTAGCCTTCACGAGTACAACCTCTAGCGTGCTTAAGGGTTCTCTCGGTTGGGGTGGAGGTGAGTCTCCGCGGCAAACAAACTCCAATGAGTCAGGACGCTTCGCAGATCGGAAGCTGAGCTTGCGACGGAGGATCTTCGGCCCCGCTGGACTTGCCGAGCGACTGCGTTCTGTTGGTTGAGTTGGGGTACTGTCCTGACCAGTAATGAGGGTGGTCACTGTGCGTAGAGAATCGATCACGATGGAAGTGTCGTCCTGTGCATCCTTCTTCCTCTTAGTTGCGTTGCGTACAACTGTAGCTTCTGCGCTAGGAACTGGGAGCTGGATACGGATGTTCGCAGCACGGGAGAGTGCCGACTTGACCATGTGAGGTGGCGTACTGCTCGTCCAGCATCCCCAG